TAACTTTTTAATTTAACAACAATTAAATTATCTGTTCATTAACATTGTTTAAATAATTAAGTGATAATTATTTGAACATTTACAACTTGGTAGCAGCGGACATTACACAAAATTTTTTTACAAAGATATTAACGCGTTTACACACACACCTAAATTTTTCACATACACATATACTTACACATACACTTTAGCATAATTATTTTAGGAACAAGATGGAAGGCCAACAACCAGATCAATTCACGGTTTTGATGACTGCCATACAACAATTGGCTACTTCTCAACAAAATTTGGTAAATGCCTTGGAGACAGGAGGAAATACACCTAGTACTAACAATCCAAAAATTAGTGTTAAAATTCCTAGTTATAAAGGAGAACCTAAAGAGAATATAGTAGCCTGGCTGCTACAAGTACAATCCGTTTTTAAAGCACAAGGAATTACTAATGATGCTACATGAATTAATTATGCTGCTACAGGACTAGAAGCTGCCGCTTTACATTGGTATCTTAATAAGGTAGTAGCTGCTGGAAATGAGGCTCCCTTTGACGATTGGGATGCATTTGTAAATGACATTCGTCAATCTTTTCAACCTCCAAATTACCAACACCATCTTCGACAACAACTTAAACGATTAAGACAAACAGGATCAGTACAGGAGTATGGATCACAATTCAGAAATATTATAGGACAAATAGAAACATGAATGAAATTGATAAAGTCACTTACTTCACAGAAGGATTAAAACCTGCAACCCGAATGGAAGTGGCTTACCAGTCTCCAAATACTTTTGATGAAGCTTGGGCATTAGCTATACGCTATGACACTGCAATGTTTGGCACTAATAGACCTTTTGTGAATAAATCTCAACAGCCACAACATCAGCGTTTCACACCTAGGCCACAGAGAGGAAATGGAGGTCCTGTACCTATGGAATTAGATTATGCTGATACATCATCATCAACGAATAATTATAATAGTAGTAACAATCACACACGTAAACCATTGAAGGGAAACTGTTTCAAATGTGGACAACCAGGCCATTATGCAAGAACTTGTCGTAATAAACCTGAATCAAAACTTACAAACATAGAAGAGTCACATCAACAACAATCACAACAAATTACTCATAATAGTATGGAACTTACTCAGATAGAAGAAGATCATGAACGCTTACTTAGAATCAAAGGACAAATCAACGGTCATACTGCTTGGATCTTGATTGACAGCGGAGCATCTAGAAATTTCATTAACCATGAATTTGCACGAAGAAATAATATTGTTACTAAACAAGTTCCATCAATATCTGTAGAATTGGCAGATGGAAGTAAATCTGAAACAAATAAAAGCGTCAATATAAAAGAGTTAAAATTGGGAACTTATCATACCTCTGACATTACAGCTCAAGTAATTAATTTACAACGATATGATGCCATTTTGGGTAAACCTTGGCTATATCATGCTAATCCAAACATCAATTGGAGAGCCAACACACTTACATTCCAATATGGCACCAAGACAATTGTAGTTCCTGCTGATGTAAATAATAAACAAGTTGAATCCAGTTGTCATTCTATTTTCATTTCAAGACAACAGTTTGCCAAGACACCTTCTACTGATGAATTATTTGCTGTTTGCCTGGCTAATATAACTGATGAAAAATTTTCTACTATGGTACCAGAAGTTAAAACACTTGTTCAAGAATTTTCAGATGTGTTTCCTGAAAATTTACCTGATCATCTACCACCAAAACGAAATGTTGACCATGCAATTGAATTAATCCCTGGATCTGAACCTCCTTCTCGTCCAATTTATAGAATGTCTTTTGATGAAATGAATGAGTTAAAGAGACAATTAGCAGATCTTTTAAAGAAAGGTTTTATTTGTCCTAGTATCTCACCTTTTGGATCACCTGTGCTTTTTGTTCACAAAAAGGAAGGAACTCTTCGTTTGTGCATTGACTATAGAGCTTTGAACAAGATCACAATTAAAAATCAATATCCATTGCCAAGAGTTGATGAATTGATGGATAGACTTGTGGGTGCCAATTACTTTACCAAAATAGACCTGTACTCTGGATATCATCAAATTAGAACCAAAGAAGATGATATTCATAAAACAGCTTTTAGAACTCGTTATGGACATTATGAATTCTTGGTTTTACCTTTTGGACTGACTAATGCACCTGCAACATTCATGACCCTCATGAATGATATTTTTAGAGAATATTTAGATCAGTTTGTTATCATTTATCTTGATGATATTTTAATCTATAGTCATACAAAAAGGGAACATCTTCAACATATTAGATTAGTTTTGGAAATTCTTAGAAAGCATCAATTGTATGCAAAGATTAATAAGTGTGAATTCTTTAAAAAGAAAGTTGAATACCTTGGTCATTATATTTCGTTGGAAGGAATAGCAGTAGACACTCGAAAAATTGATATCATTAAAAATTTGGCCTACACTTAAAAATGTTTCTGATGTTAGATCTTTTTTAGGTTTAGCAAGTTATTATCGAAAATTTGTTAAAGGATTCTCTGCAGTAGCTGTGCCTCTTACCGATTTATTACAAAAAGAATCATCATTTGAATGGGGTGATAAAGAACAACAAGCTTTTAATCAACTCAAACACCAGTTGACATCTGCTCCAGTCTTGCTTATACCAGACCCTACAAAGCCTTTTATTCTAACAACAGATGCTTCTGATTTTGCAATAGGTGCAGTGTTAAGTCAAAATCAAGGGAAGGGAACATGATGATACAAGAAATTAAATAAGAAATGATCAGATGAAGGAAAGTTAAGAATGGCAGTAGATCCTAATGAAACAAGAGAGTGAGCTAAGAATTGCAAAAGAATTTGGTTTGACAATATCACCATTGAAGAAATGTTAGAGGGATTTCTTGATAGTTCAAATCAACTAGGTTCAAAATGCTTAGAATATCTTGGTTGGTATACAGAGAAAGGTCACCAACTTACTGAACAAAAGCAAGAATATGAAGAGAAAATTAAGGCATTAGAAGAAGAGAAAAAGGAGTTGGAAGAAGCATTAGAATTAGAGGAGGAAACATCTGAATGTTATTTAGAGGCTCTTGAAGTAGCTAAACAGTGGAGAATAAGACAAAGTAAAGAAAAAGATGACAACTTAGAAAAAGCTTTGAGAAAAATAGAAGTTCTAGAAAATATTGTGGCATGACAGAAATATTTGGCAGACAAGCAGCTTCAAGAACTACCAGTTTTACCAAAGAAAGAAAACAAATTTAAACTCCTAACTAACAAAGTAAAGAACAAAGTTAGCCAAGTAAAAGAAATAACTTGAGAAAATTTGAAACCTATATCTTGCAAAAGAATAAATAGCATGAAATTAGAATACCAAGTTAATGAGCTGAGGAGAGGAGATAAATGGCATTGTAATTTCTGTCCTTTTGAAAGAGAAAAGAGTTTAACTGCTACTTCCCTATGCAAAGTTTGCACACTTAAAATATCCATATTATGCTCTCAAAACATACTTAAATTTGCGTAGAAATTAAGTATTGTTTAAGTGTAACATCAGTGTGAATTAAGTAGAATTTAAGTGTGTTTTGCTCTTTTTAGGGATGTATATACTTATTTTGTACTTATTTTATCCTTAAATCACACCTGAATTGTACTTAGATTATACTCGTTTTATTCTTAAATATTTCCCATTTAAGTAGAAAATAAGGATGTCAGCATACCCTTAAAACATACTTATTTCCTACTTGAATGTTACTCATTTTTAATTGTTGTATTTTCAAAATTAATAGTATATAAACAATTATTTTATTTATTTAAAAAGACCATTTTTTATTTTTAAATATGAAAAATACAAATATTTTCTATTTAATAATAATATATATAATGATTTTTTTTTCCTTACTAGTTGCGTAACTAGATCCGTTTTTTTTGAGAGAGAAAAGTAATTAATAATATAATGTAATATAATAATAATATATATAATGTAATAATAATATATATAATGATTTTTTTTTCCTTACTAGTTGCGTAACTAGATCCGTTTTTTTTTTGAGAGAGAAAAGTAATTAATATTATAATGTTAATGTAATATAATAACAGTATATATAATAATTTTCTTTTTTTTTTCCTTACTAGTTGCGTAACTAGATCCGTTTTTTTTTGAGAGAGAAAAGTAATTAATATTATAATGTAATATAATGTAATATAATAATAATATATATAATGTAATAATAATATATATAATGATTTTTTTTTCCTTACCAGTTGCGTAACTAGATCCGTTTTTTTTTGAGAGAGAAAAGTATGTTATATAATAACAATATATATAATTATATTACATTAACATTATAATATTAATTACTTTCTCAAAAAAAAACGGATCTAGTTACGCAACTAATAAGGGAAAAAAAAGAAAATCATAAAATAATATATATAATTGATTTTCTTTTTCTTTTTCCTTTTTTTTGAAAAAAGAAAAGTATTTAATATTATGTAATATAATAACAGTATATAATGATTTTCTTTTTTTTTCCTTATTAGTTGCGTAGCTAGATCCGTTTTTTTTTAGAGAAAGGTAATTAATATTATAATAATAATATATATATATATATAATGATTTTCTTTTTTTTTTCCTAGCCGCGTAACAAGATCCGTTTTTTTCTTGAAAAAGAAAAGTAATTAATATTATAATAAAATAAAATATAATTTATATAATAATAATATATATAATGATTTTTCTTTTTTTTTTCTTACTAGCCGCCGTTTTTTTTTTTTTTTTTTGAAAAAGAAAGGTAATTAATGTTATAATAATAAAATATATATATAATGATTTTCTTTTTTTTTCCCTTACTAGCCGCGTAACAAGATCCGTTTTTTTTTTGAAAAGTAATTAATATTATAATAAAATAATAATGTAATATAATATAATTATATAATAATACTATTTATAATGATTTTCTTTTTTTCCTTACTAGCTGCGTAACCAAGATCCATTTTTTTTTGAAAAAGAAAAGTAATTAAGATAATAATATAATATAATATAATAATATAATATAATAATAATATATATAATGATTTTTTTTCCCTTGATTGTTGCGTAACAAGCTTGTTCACCTAGATCTGTAATAAAATAATAATGTAATAATATAATATCATTATTATAATATATATGATTATATTTATATTTTTCCTTACTAATTGCATAACAAAATCGTTCACCACCAAGATCTGCTTTTTTTGAAAAAGAAATAATAATATTTATAATGATTTTCTTCTTTTTTCCTTACTAGTTGCGTAACCTTTTGTTACTTTAAACTTCCATGCTCAAAACACTTACCTCTTCAAAGATTATTTTTCTCCAAAAGAAAATATTATCTTTTTCACCTAAAAGAAAGTATGTACAATAATAATCCAAGTGTATATAATGTACATAATTATAAGTTACTACCCAAAAGAAGTCTTTTTTATATATTAAACCAAAGTGTATATAGCAATTGTGTTGAAAAAGTTTTTTTGTAAACAAATTATTAATTGTGACAGAAGAAAATTATAACAAAAAAAACGTTAAATTTTAGTTACAATTTAATTTACAAAAAATGTTGAGAATTTGCCAAAAAAAAAAGAATTTACAAAAATGATGTAAAAATGAATACATTTTTATATTTTTTTTTCTTTATATATAAATTCCTTCACAACGCAAACATTTTCGCGAAACATCAAAAACCCTTTTTTATTAAAAAAACAAGATAAAAAAAGACTGTATCAAAGTTTCATTCAAAAAAATAAAAAATTCGACCAAAAATGTTAATTGACATTGTACTGGTTTAATTCGTGATACGTGAGAGAAGCTATATGACGAATTGAAGTATTTCTCTTCTAAGATAACATGACCAAAATATCCACA